TCTTTCTAATTCAAATTCTTCTATTATCTACAAAAAAAAAAAATATCAGGTCCATGTTTCCTGTATAGAATTGTGATTCCGCTTCTAAAATATCTATGTGCCTAAAAAAAAAAAGGTTTAGGTGTAAAGGTTTATTCCATGTTTCCTGTATAGAATTGTGCTTTATTCCGGTTCCTTCTAAAATCTATTCAAATCTATTATCACGCCTAAAAAAAACAGGTGTAAAAAGGTTTATTCCATGTTTCCTGTATAAATGTGCTTCCGGTTCCTTCTAAATTCTAATTCAAATATATGCTTCAATATCTACGCCTAAAAAAAAACAGGTGTAAAGGTTTATTCCATGTTTCCTGTATAGAATTGTGCTTCCAAAAATTCCTTCTAATAATTTTAATTCGCCTAAAAAACAACAGGTGTAAAGGTTTATTCCATGTTTCCTGTATAGAATTGTGCTTCATCTTCTAAAATTCTAATTCAAATATATGCTTCTAAAAAAAAAAAAAAAAAAACAGGTGTAAAGGTTTATTCCATGTTTCCTGTATAGAATTGTGTTCCTTCTTCTAAAATTTCTAATTCAAAAAAACAGGTGTCTTCCATTCCTTCTAAAAAAAAAAAAAGCAGGTGTAAAGGTTTATTCCATGTTTCCTGTATAAATTGTGCTTGGTTCCTTCTAAAATTCTAATTCAAATCTACTTCATTATCCGCCTAAAAAAAACAGGTGTAAAAGTTTATTCCATGTTTCCTGTATAGAATTGTGCTTCGGTTCTTCTAAAATTCTAATTCAAATCTATGCTTCTAATATCTACGCCTAAAAAAAAACAATGGTTTATTCCATGTTTATTCCATGTTTTCCTAATTCAAATCTATGAATATTACGCCTAAAAAAAAAACAGGTGTAAATGTTTATTCTGTTTCCTGGTTCCTTCCTTCTAAAAAAAACTAATTCAAATCTATGCTTCTAATATCTACGCCTAAAAAACAACAGGTGTAAAGGTTTATTCCATGTTTCCTGTATAGAATTGTGCTTCCGGTTCCTTCTAAAATTCTAATTCAAATCTATGCTTCTAATATCTACGCCTAAAAAAAAACAGGTGTAAAGGTTTATTCCATGTTTCCTGTATAGAATTGTGCTTCCGGTTCCTTCTAAAATTCTAATTCAAATCTATGCTTCTAATATCTACGCCTAAAAAAACAGGTGTAAAATTCCATGTTTCCTATAAATTGTGCTTCATTCCGCCTAAAAAAAACAGGTGTAAATGTTTATTCCATGTTCTTTTGTGCTTCCGTTCCTCTAAAATTCTAATTCAAATCTATGCTTCTAATATCTAAAAAAAACAGGTGTAAAGGTTTATTCCATGTTTCCTGTATAGAATTGTGCTTTCCTTCTAAAATTCTAATTCAAATCTATGCTTCTAATATTAAAAAAACAGGTAACGCCATATAAATTTGTGTCCGGTTCCTTCTAAAATTCTAATTATGTTCAATATCTACGCCTGTGTTTATTCCATGTTTCCTGCTTTTTCTGGTTCCTTCCTTATTCTAATTAAATCTATGCTTCTAATATCTACGCCTGGTGGTTTATTCCATGTTTCCTGTATAGAATTGTGCTTCGGTTCCTTCTAAAATTCTAATTCAAATTGATTATCTACGCCCAAAAAAACAGGTGTAAGGTTTATTCCATGTTTCCTGTATAGAATTGTGCTTCCTGTTCCTTCAAAATTCTAATTCAAATCTATGCTTCTAATATCTATGCTAAAAAAAAAAAAAAAGGTTTATTCCATGTTTCCTGTATAGAATTGTAAGTTCCTTCTAAAATTCTAATTCAAATCTATGCTTGAATATTTACGCCTCAGGTATGGTTTATTCCATCCTGTATAGAATTGTGCTTCCGGTTCCTTCTAAAATTCTAATTCAGAAAAAAACAGAAAGGTTTATTCATGTTTCTATGGCTTCCAGTTCCTTCTAAAATTCTAATTCAAATCTATGAAATTCAGCTAAAAAAAACAGGTCCATGTTTCCTGTAAAAATTTAATTTTATGCTAATATTCACGCCTAAAAACAACAGGTGTAAAGGTTTATTCCATCCTGTATAGAATTGTGAATATTCTAATTCAAATCTATGCTTCTAATAAAAAAAAAACAGGTGTAATACCATGTTTCCTATAACCTGTTTCCTTCTAAAATATAAATCTATGCTTCTATTATCTACGAAAAAAACAGGTGTGATATCTAAAAAATTCTAATAAATGCTTCTATTATCACGTCTAAAAAAAACAGGTGTAAAGTGTTTATTCCATGTTTCCTCTATAGAATTGTGTTCAGTCCCGACATCTACGCCTAAAAACAACAGGTGTAAAGGTTTATTCCATGTTTCCTGTATAGAATTGTGCTTCCGGTTCTTCCTAAAATTCTAATTCAAATCTATGCTTCAATATCTACGCCTAAAAAAACAACAGGTGTAAAGGTCCATTCCATCACTCCGTAAAAAATTTAATTCAAATCTATGCTTCTATTATCTGCGCCTAAAAAACAACAGGTGTAAAGGCTTATTCCATGAATCCTGTATAAATTGCTTCCCGGTTCCTTCTAAAATTCTAATTCAAATCAATGCTTCTATGTTCGCCTTAAAAAAAACAGGTCTATTCCATGTTTTGTATAGAATTGTGCGGTTCCTTCTAAAAAATCTAATTCAAATCTAGATTATCTGCTAAAAAAAACAGGTGTAAAAAGTTTATTCCATGTTTCCTGCATAGAATTGTGCTTCCGGTTCCTTCTAAAATTTAATTCAAATCTATGCTTCTAATATCTACGCCTAAAAACAACAGGTGTAAAGGTTTATTCCCTGTATAGAATTGTGCTTCCGGTTCCTTCTAAAATTCTAATTCAAATCTATGCTTCTATTATCTACGCCTAAAAAAAACAGAAGTGTTTCCTGAGAGAGATTATCTACGCCAAAACAACAGGTCCATGTTTCCTGATAGAATTGTGCTTCCGAAAAATTCTAATTCAAATCTATGAAATCTACGCCTAAAAAACAACAGGTGTAAAGGTTTATTCATGAACTTCCTTCTAAAAATCTAGAAATCTATGCTTCTATTATCTGCGCCTAAAAAACAACAGGTGAAAGGTTTATTCCATGAATCCTGTAGAATTGTGCTTCAGTTCCTTCTAAAATTCTAATTCAAATCAATGCTTCTATTATCTACGCCTAAAAAAAAAACAGGTGTAAAAGTTTATTCCATGTCTCCTGTATAGAATTGGGAAATTTTAATTCAAATCTATGCTTCTATTATCTGCGCCTAAAACAACAGGTGTAAAAAGTTTATTCCATGTTTCCTGTGGATCAAATCATGTTTCTAATATCTACGCCTAAAAAACAACAGGTAAAGCTTATTCCATGTTTCCTGTATAGTGCCCCATTCCTTCTAAAATTCTAATTCAAATCTATGCTTCATATCTACGCCAAAAAAAAACAGGTGTAAAAGTTATTCCATGTTTCCTGTATAGAATTGTTCTTCCCGGTTCCTTCTAAAATTCCCATTCAAATCTATGTTTCTATTATTCACCCTAAAAAACAGGTAAAGGTTTATTCCATGTTTCCTGTATAGAATTGTGCTTCAGTTCCTTCTAAAATTTTCGCTTCTATTATCTACGCCCCTTCAAAAAACAGGTGTAAAAGTTTATTCCATGTTTTCCTGTATAGAATAATATATATTCTAAAATTCTAATTCAAATCTATGCTTCCTAGGCCTAAAAAAAAACAGGAAAAGGTTTATTCCATGTTTCCTGAAAAAAAATTCTAATTTTAAATCTATACTTCTAATATCTACGCCTAAAAAACAACAGGTTAAAGGTTTTATTCCATGTTTCCTGTATAAATTGTGCTTCCGGTTCCTTCTAGTCTTTTCATTCCCTTTCACTTCCGGTGGTCACTTGCTACTTGGTGGCATTATCACCTTGCTTGCGATGGTGTCTCTTATTCTGTAACGCTCTACCTTGATTGGCTCTTGGGCCTTGTATAGGGTGAACATCCTTGTGAAAAAAAAAAGAAAATCCTAATTCGTTGGCGTCTGTTGAATCGCATAAAACCAGATATTACATAGTGAAGTCTATGGATCAAGCATCTGCTAATAGTTACGTGTCAGGCTATGGACTTATTGATCTACTCTCGTGTGAACCGCTCAGTATGCATCTATATATCGATGTGTAGATATCTAAAAACGTCTGAAAATGCAGCTTTGTATGCCAGATGAACACTATTGATTTCTATTATAACAAATAAAAAATAATACATGCAACTTATATATATATATATATATATATATATACATATATATATATGTGTGTGTGTGTGTTTGCGTTTTTTGTGTTCGTTTTTATGTGTGTGTGTGGTTTTGTATGTTTGTGCGTACGCAGATTGTGAAGCTGATATATAAGACATAAAAAACAAGAAGTAGAGAGAGGAAGATGAAAAAACAGAAGAAGAAACCAAAAAGAGAGGGACTGAGAGAAAGAGAATGGGTGTGTGTGAGTGTGTGTGTGTGTGTGTAGAGAGAGAGAGAGAGAGAGAGAGAGAAAGAAAGTGTGGGATTTGAGGAGAGGGACCGCGTGGATCGACAAGCGCCACCTACGGCATATTTTCTCTTCTGTTCGAAAACAGCGGAACACAAGGTTATTGGTGGTTAAGTAGGTCACCTAAAAATCTACAATAATTTGCTTTCCATGCCCCCACCCCACCACACTGCCCTCTTCTCCCCCAACCTCCACCCCACCAACACCACATAACCCACTCGCTCGACTTTCTCTGATTCTCTCTGTCTTTATCTTCGACTGATCTACTTCCAGGAATGGCAGAACTCCATTATAATTCGTTTCCTTGATTAGAATTGACGACAACAACACAAGTAACTACAACAAACATTCCATTGGAAAATAAATAAATGAAGAAAAAACGATCTGAACAGAGTGCAAGGAAGGAAGAAATAAATGAAGAGGGAAAATGACTATAAGAAGAAAGAAAGTAATAAATAAAGAAAGAAAGAAAGAAAGAAGGAAGGAAGAAAAGAAAAAAGAAGGAAAGAAAGAAAGTAATAAAGAAAGAAAGAAGGAAGAGAAGAAAGTAAGAAAGAAAGAAGGAAAGAAAGAAAGAAGGAAAGAAAGTAAGAAAGAAAGAAAGAAAGTAATAAAGAAAGAAAGAAGGAAGAAAAGAAAGAAAGAAGGAAAGAAAGTAATAAAGAAAGAAAGAAGGAAGAAAAGAAAGAAAGAAAGAAAAGAAAAGAAAAAGAAGGAAGAAAAGAAAAGGAAAGAAAAAGAAAGAATAAAAAGAAAGAAGGAAGAAAAGAAAGAAAGAAAGAAAAAAGAAAAGAAAGAAAGAAAGAAAGAAAGAAAAGAAAGAAATAAGGAAGAAAGAAGGAAAGAAAGAAAGGGGGAAGAAAAGAAAGAAAGGAAAAAGAAAGAAAAAGAAAGAAAGAAAGAAAAAGAAAGAATAAAAAAGAAAGAAAGAAGGAAAGAAAGAATGAAAGAAAGAAGGAAAGAAAGAATGAAGGAAGGAAGAAAAGAAAGAAAGAAAGAAAGAAAGAAGGAAGGAAAGAAAGGAAGTAAGAAAGAAGGAAGAAAAGAAAGAAAGAAAGAAAGAAAGAAAAGAAGAAAAGGAAGAAGAAAGTAGAGGGAGAAAGAAAAATATAAATAAAATGAAGAAAGCGAAACAGAAGGAAAGATGAAAGAAAAGAAATAAAGAGAAAAGGTAAGAAAGGAAGGAAGAAAGAAAGAAAATCAAAATGGAAAGGAAGAAAAATGAAAAGTAAAGAAAAAGTAAGGAAGAAAAGGGAAACAAGAAAGTGAATGAGAGAAAGGAAAGAAAGATTAAAGAAAAGAAAGAAAAAAAGAAAAATTGCAAGGAAATAAAAAGTAAAAAAAAAGAAAAAAGGGAAAGAAACAGAAACAGAAAGAATATAAGAAAGAGAAAAAAGAATGAAAGAAAGAGAAAAAGAAAGACTGAAAGAGAGAGAAAAGGAAGCACGAAAGAAAGTGAAAAAGAAAGAATGAAAGAAAGAGAAGAAAGAATGAAAGAAAGAAAGAGAAAAAGAAACACTGAAAGAGAGAGAAAAGGAAACATGAAAGAAAGTGAAAAAGAAAGAATGAAAGAAAGAGAAGAAGAAAGAATCAAAGAAAGAAAGAGAAAAAGAAAGACTGAAAGAGAGAGAAAAGGAAACATGAAAAAGAAAGAATGAAAGAAAGAGAAAAAGAAAGAAAGTAAAGACAAACTGGACAAAAGGAATTTAGAGAAAGCTGAAAGAAAGGGAATAAAGCAAAACAGAAAGGAAGGAAAAAAAGAAAGCCGGTAAGTGAAAAGCAAAGGTAGAAAGAAAGAAAATCGGAAAGAAAAGAAAGAGGCAAAGAAAAAGAGAAGCGGGGTGGGGGGAGAGACTGAAATGAAGGTGAAATTGAAAGAAAGAAAGAAAATGAAGCAATAAAGGAAAGTTAAAAGGAACTAGAAAGGAAGAAAATGGGAACGAGGAAAAAGAAGGAAGGCGAATAAGAAAGAAAGAAAAATGATAGAAAAGTAGGAAACAAATGAAATAGAAAGAAAAGGAAGAGGAAAATGAAAAATGAAAGAAGCACTTATTGAATGAGCTGGCTACAAACATAGAAGAAAGACGTCAGAAACGAAGGAAAAAGAAAAAAAAGGAACAGAAAGAAGGAATGAGAGACAATGAAGAAGAAAACTAAGAAAAATAAAATAAAGGAATGAAGAGAAATTTCGAAAAACGAAAAAAAAAAAAATACTAAAATGTATAAAGAATTGTTATATTTCTGCTTGTTCCCCTCTTCCTTTGTCCATACCTTACACCCTACCATTTCCGCTTAAAAATGGACTATTCCGTTTTGATCACGAAGAAAGGCGGGAAAGATATATCGGAGATACTGCTTGGTTTAGTTTGGTTTGATTTGTTTTACGGCATATCAACCACAATGTGTTATTTAATCCCGAAATAATGCTGGTAATATTTTTTTTCAAAAATGTATTGCTGGTATTTTTTTTTTTCGAAATTGTATTGCTTGTAATAATTTTTATCATCAAAAATTCATTGCTGATAATAATAATCAGAGACCATGCTGTCGGATGTAGTTTATCGTCATACCCAGGACACGGATGCTGTTTGGTTTCAATGACAAAAGCACGATGAAAAGGGAAGATAGAGGAGGCGATAAAGCTTAGTTGCGTTTAATGTCTACTTTAGTAAATGGAAAAAAATTGCCAATTTAAAATCTTTTCATTTGGACCTTAAGTTTTTTTAAAATAATGACAAGCTTTTATATTTATGATTGTTATTACAATATTTTGTTAAAAATTGTTAAGCTCAAATATTGAACAAGTCAAGAAGGGATCATCCACGGGTATTCTATAGACGTGGGACTCGCAAAGAGCTTATTCAATCACTGATCTAAGAATTAAGACTTATTCAAATAGCGGGTATGTCTCATCTTTTATATGTTATTTCTGTGTTCGTTCGTTATACTTTTCGACCTAGGAACAGAACAGAGTATAGTATCTGTCAGATCTTTGGCCTTTATGAACTGAACTGAGTTATGCTTTTGCACCCAAAATCTATAATATTTTTCCTTGTATGTACAATCGTTACGCTTTTTGTTGTAGCATACCTACGGACGATAACGGGTATGTGTCCATTTACATAAATACAGTAGTAAGTACTCTATGTCCGTCTGCAGTCAGAGATTCATCCGGGCAGAGAGGATTCCCAGACGAGGCTATATCGAAGGGCCAGAGTGTCGTCTCGGGAAACAGCTATCCGACCCCGTGAATTTTTGGCCGAACCTACGGGCTCGGATACCCCACATTAAATTCGACTTTGCGCCACATCTGTCCGCGTGAGGCGGTTGGTAGATATCCCGCAGTTGGAGATTCCTTGTTGAATTCACTTGACTCACTTCTAGCAGTTGACTACTTCTACGCGCTGCTGGCGAATCTTATATGCGTTGTTCGTGTCCTAACTATCTTCCCTCATTGTGATTATTCTATTCAGTAACCTTCCCTAGGTTACAACACTTTTCTAACAAGTGTTAGAGTGTAGTATCTGCAATGCACATGATATCTGACTATCCTTAGCTATGCATTTTGTCTGGGGGATATCTATATAATATTATTATGCAGGAAAGAATTGGAAAAAAAACAAGAGAAGAAAGTACAAGGTGTGAATGCAAAAAAGATCGGAGTTGAAGCTCTTTTAAATAAACAATATTAATTAGATTTAGCGGCCTGAATATTCGATAAATTTCGTAGAATATATGCATCCTCCGACAGAAGAAAAAACAGAGCATTTACTTAAATAAATTGTATCTATTAAAATAACGTATAAAAAGAAAATATATTAAATAATTGTCCAACTTAATCCATTTCATAATATGTTGTCTATGCTTATATTAAGATCCGTTCCGTGAACAGATATCATCGTTCGGTAAAGACTTTCGAGGATTTTTGTTTATAAGCATTAATTTGGACTATTCTAAACAGGCGCTTTCTCTGTAGCTGAGTAGTATAGCACGTCAGATCAATTGACAGTTCTGCATAGGACATAGATTCGATTCCTGTCCGAGAACGCGTATTTTTCTACAAATTTTCACGAACATTCAGGCTGGTAAATGTAATTAATACTGTTTATTTAAAAAACAGCATTTTCTGAAATAAACTCTTTCTATCAAAATCACGGAATATATATATATATATATATATATATATATATATATATATATATATATATGCAATCACTTCATTTTTAACGCAAAGGGCACGCAAATTTTCGATTCCAATATTTAAGAAATTTGGGTTTGTGTCCCAAAGTTTAAAAGTCTATTTCCCTCATTTGCTTCTGAATGTTTGAGGATTAAAAGAATTGAAAATCTATAGGCGCAAAATATATTGGCTATGAAGGATTTAAAAGAACATCCCATCTTAACGATCTTAATTATTTTTCTTGGCTTTGTTTTGAAGAAGGTGCCCGTACATTGACGTGCTAGAGAATAACTGTTTTTTTCTTTTTAACAAAACAGATTACTTTCGTCAGGAAACTTCGTTTGTTCAATCAAGTTGTTGGCAATAAACGACGGCAGTGATGGTCCTTCCATGTTCCATCAGCTCGTAATGGACGACATATTTCATATTTCACTCGGCCCAACGAAAGGATTTCTGTGGACGGCTTTCTGGGTTTGGTATTGGTTTCTCAGTTTGTAATAACCAATGACTATTCCATTGACATGCAAAAATCACATTAAAAGACATCGTCATTTAAATGCCTCATGTTTTCCCAATTAAACACTGAAATGCACTAAAAACAACACATTATCAGATAAAACAAATGATAACGTATTCTAGAATGCAGTTTCCTATCATTCATCTTGGTGATGCATTGGTTAGTTGACTCATAATTCATAACGATAAAATGCAAAGTTAGTTTCCAGAAACCCTTAACGTACTTCCCGTAAGCTAAGACGCGTTTTCCCCGAAAGATGCCGTCAAAAAAAACCCTGCGCCTTGCCACTGAAAGGTCAAGTTATCGAGAGGAGTTTTCCAGCCCTCCCGAACGCTAGTCACATGAACCCTAGACTACAATAATCATTCATCTGTAATAAGTACCGTATGTCCCGTTAGCATCATAACATATATTAGTTTTTTCGAGTATGGATGATAAGCAGTAGACAGCTGCCTATTTGTACTGTAAGCCTTTCGTGTATCTAGGCATACCGTACACGTCCCAAACCCAGCCACGTAATACGGGCTGATAGGTATGTTTCATCTATACACCAAGAATACCGGCTTTATTATCGCAATTTGTGTACTAATGAAGGAAACCATTTATCTCAATAGGCCTATTATTAATGCCAAATGTACTGTCAGTAACCCAGTACCTACTATCCGCCATATTTGCTTATGGTAATTGTGCCTCAACGATGCCATCTGCAGGCAGACAAGCCAACTACTGTCATCAAAGCAGACAACATCAATCAATCAAGCTTCCCACTAGTACTGTAAGTCTTTCGTTCATACAGGTTTACCGTACGATATCTTCACAAAACCCAAATCCAGCCATGTCATACAAGCTGATAATTACGTTTCATATATACACGAAGATATACCAACCTTATTATCGCATTTTGTGTACCATTGAAACAAAACATTTAGCCTAATAGACTTATCGTTAATTCCAATTGCACTGCCAATTCCCAGTTCCTATTATTCTTCATGTTTGTTTATTGTGATGGTGTCAAATGTAATTTAAAAAAAACCCACAAATATTTAATAATAGGTCCAAAATATGATACATTGTTGTGAGAGAAAGAAAAAATGACACCTTAGAATCGGCGACTTGGACTTGCTAGCACGGTAAGATATGAAATCCTTAACTTTTTAAAAAAAAATACCTATAGGGTATGTCTTACCATTTGTGGCATTTTAGTATACAAGAAATACGGTGTATTTTAAAAAAAATTACATAAAAATATGATGTCAAAATAAAATTGACAAAATTACTATATATATTCACACACACACACACACACATATATATATATATATATATATATATATATATATATATATATATATATATATATATATATATTATATATATGATATTAAATTTTTATTCATTTGTTCAAATGTTATTTTTAAAAGATATTGTATATTTATTTATTTAAACTACTGTCCTGAATATTTTTCTAAAAAGATTTTACGAACATTCAGGTCGCTAGATGTAAATAAATAAATATGAGTATCTATTAAAAATAACGTTCAAACAAATATATATATATATATATATATATATATATATATATATATATATATATATATATATATATATATATATATATATATATATATATATATATATATATATAGTGGATAGCGGCTTGGACTGAGGAATCGCAGAGCCGAGTTCGAATTCCTGTCGAATCCATTACATTCACTTACGTGCTAATACCCTTGGGAAAGGTATGTATCCTCTTCATCTCCTTCCAGCTATGGGTAAAATAGCAGGACAGACTGGGTTCTATAGCCTTGGATGGCAACTGGTCTAGGAGAAGGACAACTCTGAATTCAAAACCTGCGGAGGGTCGTTTGAGAACCTTGTGGCATGCATTCGGTGCACCAGGTTCCTGTATTCGTCCCTCTAAAAAGTGTGGCTGGTCCTGCACGAGGCCTTCACCACTATAAACAAATCTCATGTGCCGGTGTCGGGATGTCGGTCTCCTGGGGACTTATCGGCCTGACCCTCATACGTCGAACGCGACGCGAGAGTCGATTATTATTATTATTATTATATTAATGCTCTGTAAATTTACATTGAGCACTATTTTGTAAAAAATAAAAATATCAATAAGAACACCGGATTACATATCTTACTGTTCTTTCTTTTTATTTAAATATACATACATATACATACATACATACATATATATATATATATATATATATATATATATATATATATATATATATATATATCATTTCATCCCAAGTACGGAGAAATGCGAGTAGGGTGCAGGAGGGCGGTTACAGGCAGTGAAATAGAATGATATGACTTTAATGAGGAGAAGAGAGGAAAATGACAATAAAAGTTTCAGTAAGGCAGAAGATGACGATTGACGTCGCATTTAATGTTATGAAGATTACAATTGACAGAGAATCAAGAAATCGGAAGGAAGTTCC